GCTGTGACTCCTTTGGAGCGAGTTGTAGTCTTTGTCTTGAAAGATCCTCTGTCTCTGAAACACCTTCTTCTTCATCACTATCCCAGTTCAAAAGCAGTGATAAGGCTTCTTCAGTCGTCATCCTTCAGGAGCTCATTTTAGGTGTGTTGAAATGGCACGAGAACAGTGACAAGAACAGGGGAGAGAAAGTTTCTCACATACACACCTGGGTCTGATGTATATTCAGAGGCAGTCAAAACAAAGTACATCAAAGACAAATGTTTATTTTGGATCTGAACAGCTTTTTACTTGCATAAAAGTGTGCGGGTCAAAATGACCTGCAACATCATCTTTGTATACAAACACTGCAAAGACATCCCAGGACACATCAAAGTGTCCATATTTTACACACCAGTTCATGACCCCAGATAAGGAAAAGTCATAAACCTTCAGTACTTTGGTCAACACAAAAACTGGAATGGGTCAAATTGGGTCAAACCCTAACCTTATCCGTAACCTTAACAAGCACTTTAATGACTTCAAATAGAGTTTTCCAAAGTGATTGAAGTAAAATGAATGAACATGTGTAGATTCCAAATGGTTCTCATGTTTCCTCATTTTTCTGATCTCGTCATTTAGGGATGTGTCGGGTGCCTGGAAGCGTAATATGTTGACGATTTGTCACCTAGCATAAAATATTACGCTTTTGGAGTGAGAACGTGTTGCAGGATTCAGGATTCCAACAATGGCGGCAGCTCCTTAGTTTTAATATTACTCTTATTAAACTTTTAACATATTTTGAGAATGTAGCTGTGTAAACTTCAAATATCTGCTCGGTTTATTAAGATATCACATATTTGCCAAAGTCCTGCAATGTTTTCGGAGACGTTGTTACCCACCAGCTCGATAGCTGACCAGGAGGTCAAGGGTCACTAGAGCCGGCAAAAGCAGCAAACTTCCAGCACCTCGTTTTCTGATTAACTGATTAAACAGAAGTGTGAGATGGTCGAGAATTTACGCCAGTGTCCTGTTATTAAACTCCT